CAACCATAAATTTAAGGAAAAAAATTGGTTATTGTTATGGTCTCCAATAATAACCACAACATTTACATATTTTTCCCACCAAATCGCACTTCTAAGATGTCGTAAAATTGCAAATTAACATTAAATGAAATATGAAATTATTGATTCTATCATATACTGAAAAAATAATACACAATCAATACATAAACCTTCTATGTGGTTTTTATGTTTGATCTTTACATAAGCTACTCGACTACGTTAACGGCTAAGACACGCTTTTGTCAGTTTTGTGTATTAGAATAAATAGTTCATAATAATACGTCCGTGCCAGTACTTGTGTGTACAGGAATCACGAAAGCAAATTGTCAGGCGCTAAATACAATTAGGGGACTAAACACCGCTTTTGTTTTTCGAAGGCTTTAGCACATTCCTGGCTTTGAATTAGAACACCACGCGGGGCGTGTTTCGACACCTGTGTTTATTTTCCATTACGTTTTGCTTCCGTTTATTTTTTGAATCAATCAAGCATAAGAATTTAACCCTAAGGAATAATTTAAATCAATATTAGTTACATTAAAGTTTTCTGCACAACCAGTCTATTACTCTCTATTAATTAATTCAACATTTTCTCATTTGTACAATAATTTTTTTTCATGCGTCCAAGCTTATAAGTACGTTCCGCATAGCATGTCAACAAACATGTCATTGTAAATGAAAGCCCATAAAGATTAAGTAAAAGAATGTCTTATTTATTACGCTGCGTTCCATACCTTTTGACGCGTGAAAATAAAGGACAATATGTTAAAAGGGCACGAGCATATCGCTATGGCGGGAATGTGTCCGGCGCGGCGGGAACGCGGGGTACGCGTGAGGCAGCGGGGATCACGATCGCCCAAAACGTGCGTCCGTGCACCCGACGTCAATGCTCACTGAAATGCGGACATAAAGTTAACTCTTCCTTTAAAAAAATATTTGTTGTTCGTTTATGGTATGCTTACTTTATCGCTTCTTGAATTTCCACCGAGGGGGTGAAAATCAAAGTAGAAAATAATCTACAATTTTTCGACTAAATCTTCATATCATAAAAAATAGTTGCTTCGCTATTACAACTAAGTCCAATACCTACCAACGCTTTTATAATCGAACAGTTTTTCACACATTTTCATACATTTCATCGTGAATATCTTCACACGAATAAGTTCACGGTTTTTATTTATTTATTTCCATCAGATTAATAATATAATTATAAGAAAAGTGTGTGAATTCGATTAGTTGCCTATAAACTGGGCAACAATTCAGCCCACGCGCTTGTAACGGCGATCATTATCAAAAAATTACTATAGCCGAGCCTATCGACTATTTGTAGGGAACGCCTCCAATAAATATAATAATTAACTAACAAAAATTTGTGATATTCTAAAAGTTTTTCGTGATTTATTATTTTAGTGTTGGTACTTTGTACTAATAACGTTCCATGACTATAAAAAATTAGATGTAAAGATTTTAAATGCAAAGAAATGCTTTATTATCTATCGTTGTTTTTATATTTCTCTTCGTATTTGCACCTTTTGAAAACACAACGTTTATTCGTAATGTGCTTTTTCCCAGAATTAATTTCCGATCGGATATATCTCGTCATAAATCAATAGCCAATTAGTAATTTTATTAATGGCAACACCACTTACTTTCCACTTTCCAAAGACAAACCACTATTATTATTGAATCTTAAACAACGGATGCGGAAATAGTGTTATTTGGACCATTGTTTTAATAATGTAGCCTACATTGATAAATCATCGTAAAATTATTTGGAGATTCATAAAACTTTGACAATATAAGGTCGTGTACTGTAGGCGGTTACATGTTGTGTTGACGCCTACACACATAGATTTACTGTATTTGCTTTGAAATTTTATACCATAGATAGCATAGCTCATCAGTCAAAGAAAGTCTAGTGATATACAGAAAAATGTCTATGAAATAGTTTTCTTCAATGAAAGAAGAGTATAAAAATACTGGCTTATTTTAAAACAAGTTTAATACCAAAAACAAAACAATGGCAGGTTGCAAAATAGAGCACGACCGGCAGCCGGCAACGGGCAGCCGATGTCTGGACATGTGGTAGGCAGACAGACGATCGGGGAATTAGGGGTAAGTGTAGGTAACCGATAATTGCAGCGTGAGAAAGAACAGCTTGCGTTCGATGGCAAAATTAGTTGCCACTTTTTTAAATTGATAATTTTTACGTTTTGTACATTAACTAAAAAATATCTTTTACTAAGAAAACTTTTATATGTCCTAAACTTTGTGATAATAAAAAAAGAATAATGATTGGTAATGGTAATTGTTTTAAGAAATTAACTTCAGAACATTTTGGTTTTTAAATAGTATTTTACGTACAAAATGTTTTTGTTGACGTTACATTGCCTAATTACCATCACAATACGAAACACGCAACCAAAATTGCAGGAACATTTGCCAGGTATAAAGTTCTACTTACTGCTACGATTAAAAATTAATCTACATCGTGTTCAACTATTCTTTAGATCACATTAATAATAGTTGGATTATTTTTGTTGAAATTATCAAATAAATGCGAACATTTTTAATTTATCCCTTGACTAGTTGTGCTACTTGTAACTAATGCAGTTTCATTAAGTTTATTTACATACTTTCACCTGCAATTTTGATCTCTTTAGTTTGTAGTCGCAAGTGAGGAGTAGACACAAGTCTCTCAACATTTAGAAATGAAAGCGCCTTCATGCGCAAAATATAACAAACTCCAATTCAATTTTATCTAAAATTGCAAGCGTACAGAAACGAGTCTTTGATGAGTTCTACTTTTTCTAGACAGTTGCAACTTTGGAACTATCGAAAGCGAAATTTCGTCGAGGTCAGTGGAACGCTTTCATAACAACGCAAAACACGGCGTCTGTGTCGAATAGGAAATGACGGGCTGTCAGGCACCTGGCTGACGATTCGACGCGCCCATCCCGCGCCGTGACGTCCCATAGAAATAGTTATGCCTCGAAATAACCCATGAACATCAAATCAACGAATAAGAATGCGCTTTTTATTACTTTCTTAACAATTTTTGACATTCTATAGTTTTATAAAATAAACCGTTTTTTTTTTAGTTCAGAGATTAATTATTTAAAGGTTTAGTGCTTTCTTTACTTATTACTTTTTCGTTTCTGAATACAGTATGAACTGTTTATAACGTCACTCCAAGCAACCTCAAAGTCGCGGGCTAATGTTAGTCTAATAATAAAGTTACAATAATTTAACGATCGTCGGTCATCGCTGGTAATGTTTGATATTATCAAATGTTATTTACATTCAACGACAACTATCAGGCTTACATAAATATCTATAGGGGATATATTGTCAGGGTAATAGGCCCACAATTCAATTCGGTAAAGATAATATATTTATATTCAGTTACTATCTGATATATCCGAGGCCTTTTCCATTTATTTACGTTCCGTTTCAGCAATGATATGTTCCCGACGTGCATTGCAAAATATTCCGCGGCTGATGCGCTGTTACCTCATCTTATACGCCGGGCAATTTGAAAAGAATGTTGTCGGATGGTCCGCGGGCCCGGACAATGCTCTATCCGTCTTTATTATACACGTATTGTAACTAGCGGAATATATCTGTAATTGAGACTTGCATAATTTAATGTCAATTTTAGAATTAGACAATCAAGATTTCTTTGTGTTATCTGTACCTATAGATGTAGTTTTTAGTAAAATTTTAGAAGAAATTAATTATATTGACTTCAATAGCTAATTACAAAACCATCAATAGATAAATTAAATAAGTATATTTTAAATTATGGACCTTCGATAAACGTATACGATTGAGCACGAGGGGTATTGTAATTATTACATCTGATCTGTGCCGAGTTTGGAACGTATCATTAACAATTCGACGTAGCGATGCTATCATAAAGGCGGAATCATCGCTCAGCGTCTCGTTTTTGGGCATCCGCGAGGAATTCACACCGCACGCCGAGCATCGGGGTAACCGATTATAATTTCACAAAAAAAATGAGTTTCACGCGCGGCAATTTGAGGTCAAGAGGGAGCGTGATCTCGGCACGGTGGATAAAAATTATTTATTTGCGTGGGGCGCGGCAATTAGGGGGGCGGGGCGCGTCTGCGCGCGCGACCTCTCGACCCCAGACCGCCCGCGCCTCCCCGCGCTTTGGATCTGCGCTTCTCCTGTCACACTGACAACCCGCCAAAACAATAAAACCATTTCAAGTTGTCTATGATTATTCTATACCCAACGCTATACATTTTTATACTAATTTTACCGTTAACCATTAGTAAAATATTCGTATAAACTTCGTATTAAAAATAATCAGATATGTTTGGATCGTAGGTGCTTGTCAAGATGATTCATTCATTTTAGCCTTTAGTGTAAAAACAAGATAGTTATAATCTGTTACACATTATATTATACGTCTTTTTAAACTGATTGTTTTTAATAAAAATGATAAAAATCGATGAGATTTTCTCCGAATTCATATATCACGGTATGCGTCACAGAGCTCATTATACTTAACGTTGTGCAAAAGACGATGGCAATTATCGATACTTGCGTACGGTTCACCGCGGCACGCACACGTGCAAGCATTGCCCAGTACGCGTCGAAAGATGGGCGTTGCTCAGTAAAATTAAGTCTAAGATAGCGTCTGCATCGATGTCGCCTTTTTTATCTTTTTTGAAGTCTTGAAGGCTAGAAAATATCAAGGCACGATTACGTATACAGCGGCTAGGAACAACAAAATTTTGGACTATCAAAAAATAATGCAAACTTTATGAAAAATTCTTCTTTAAAAACATAGAGAAATTTAAATCTACCGAAATTAATATATAGGTGACCTGCCAGGTGACCTGTTCCTTTGCCATCGTCGACTATAAAAAAAAACAATCCGCACTGCGCGGTTGATCAAGTAAAATAATTTTGGCTATGTTCCGAGCCTCACAATATGAACAAGTTTGAGGTGACCAAATATAAAAAAAAAAGGACATACTTTTTAATCTGGCGATGATCCTCTTCATCGTGGTGACCGGACTAGACAGGTGTACCCTGGCGCGTGCCCGCTGTACAAATGTACGCTGCGCCGGCGTCACACTTGGCTGCACTTGCACCAGCGGATGAAGGGCGATGCCGCCAGGCGAATAACAAACCCACAAATGATTCATAAAAGCTTGTAAAGTTTGGCTGTACCTAACCATAATTGGCAAGGGTCGGATGTAAGGCATAACAAATTAATAAGACAAAGATGCAAAACCCACATTTAATATTGGAATTAGGTACGTAGCGTAGATGTAGATATTAGTTACTTGTGTTTTAGTTCTGAATTTTGCTAGCTCCATCCTTCTGTGTTAATTACGGGGTTTATTTGTCATTTTTTTAAATTCCTGGTCATGTTCAGAAAAAAACAGCGAATCTTCTCAAAATGACGCATACCACAAACTAAAATAGTATTAACAGACTATCGGGAATTATCAAGATTAACAGATTATTCGTAGCGTACCTTATTTTTCTGTTGCAATATTCTCGCTCTGATTGCCTGTCAAGTCTAATGTAGATTTAAACACTAAATTGCAGGGAAATTGTTTGTCGTCTACACATTATGTTGTTCGGCTTGGAGGCGCCCACGTCGTGTCGTTTTAAGCTGAGACAAATATGGAGGGGCTTATTCGAAATCATGGAATTAAATAAAATCCAGATTCGATAAGTAACTGTACTCTAATAAAAACTAATAAAGTTTGCAGCTTTCGCCCGCGACTTTGTTCGTGGAATTTTAAAAAAATCCTATTGTTAGTAGCCTATGTATTCTTGCAGACTATTTTTTACATTTATCCCAAACATCCAGATCCGTTCATCCGTTTAGGCGGAAAACTAGAACAAAAATTCATCTATATAAACTTTTGCATTTAGGTATAATACTAGTAAGGTAAGATAACATAAACAATATAGAATAAGAAAACTGTTTCAAACATCTCTCTGCTTGATTTATTTATATTTAATTTTTAATTTCAATAACCTCGGTATTAATTATCTAATTAAATAACATTTATTAAAGTACGAAAAGTTTCAGTTAAAAACTATTATCTGAGGAAAGTATAAAGCTATTTTTATTTGCGGTGGAGCTTACTCAATGTAGCTGTATATGCGGTAAGTTAAACTTATAATCTTATATGAGTACCATGTGCTACTGAGGTCCTCTACCTCACATACGCAGGGCAACTGTAGCATATCGCACGGCGTCACGCTCCGTGAACCCTGCCACCTCTATTCTTAACTACATTATAATAATGATAATCAGTTACCTTACCACGACTTTCACATAAAAAAAATCTTCTGATCTCTATCTATCCATAAAAAAGATAAGATTCAATTATGAAACATGTTTTTAGGGTTACGTTTGGGCATTCGAGTTTTCTCAAAAATCCCCTTGGCCCTATATTGCAGCGAAATACAAAATAAAGACAATGTACAAACTTATTAGACCAAGTTGTCAAATATTTAAAACATAAATGTGACAGTTTGACAGGATAAAAATACAGTAATTTAAAATCACAAGATAATTAAAATTACTTGAAATAATTACTTTGTTTTACACAAAATAATACAAAATGTCCGTTAACGAAATGTCCGTAACACAAGAACAATCTCAAAAGACGGTACCCTCTGATCAAAAGCTCAGCCAGAGCGAATCCAGTCAGACTACATTGTACAAAATGAGCAAAGGGACAATATCTTTAATGGAAAAGAGGCAAATGTATCGGGTCATCGACGACGGAATGGACGCGACCCCAGACAACATCGTAGACCCAGAATACGTGCTGATGGAGGACACACACACGCACGCCGCATTCGGAGGCAGATCTGATAAAGTAATCAAAAGTGACATCGGCATTAAAGCAACAAAATCAAAGTCAAAGACTACAGTAGAGGTGGCAATGAAAGTGTATACGACCACCATCTCCCTTGACGACATCTATATCGATCATACAAAAGACACCGGCGAGAGCTTCACCACGGAAGAGATAGATCTAGAAATAGCACCATCGGCATTTTACATGCCAATACAAAAACCAGTCATGGAGTATCCAGAAGAAATTTTTGTCGTCCTCAAAGAGACGGACACGGAATTCCTCTTTGAATTACCCAGCTTTTCATACGAAAGAGGGACGATAGAAGCGAATACCGTCGAAGAACAAAACAATTACTATCAATACATAACCGTCGGAAAAGGAAGGAATCGCAAAATGGTGACTGAGGAAACTCAAACGAAAGAATGCGTGTCGCAATCTCGACACACGGTCGCTACGAGGCCGAAGAAGAAAAATGCGATATCTTTTGCCTCCCTGTGGGACATGCACGACACATACGCACAACTCGCTAAGATAGCGAGGCAGGAGGAAACAGACGAAATGGTTATGTATCAATCCGTGGAGCCCAGACTGCTGCGAAAGAAAAAAAAGATTCCAGGCGAAGCTACCGAACTCAAAGGGATAAGCTACAAGGATATTTGCAACACTCCAGCATTTTTGGATGCCGTTCTGTTAACGGAGCGCGTTCTCGCCACGATGCAGTTTGCCAATGCCCAGAAAAAATTCCGAGGACTGGTACAGTTTAATCCCCTAGCCCTCGATCTCCAGTACGTTTACACGTTGAAACCTCTTTGGACTTTAGAATGTAACGAAACGGCTGGCCGACCGATCACCGGAATATCGTTCAATCCGAGAAACTCTAACATTGTGGCCGTGGCGCACGGAAAATTTACTTACGCGGAGACTTTCAATGGCCTAATCAGCATTTGGTGCACGAAGAACCCCTGCGTTCCCGAGAGATTGTACCGCTTCGACCAGCCTGTCACCGCAGTCGCCTTCTCAGAGAAGAACCCCAATTGGCTCGCGTGCGGTTACCACAACGGCGACGTCCTTATCCTGGACATCACGTCGTACTCTATCAAGACTGTGGCCAAAAGCAAACGCGACACCAACCCCTGCTTCGAGCCGATATGGCACATCAATTGGCACTTTATTGACTCGATCCAATTTGTTATAACGACCTGCCAAGACGGCCGGATAAACCGATTCCGGAGCACGAAGACGCACGACTTCATCTGCTCGCCGATAATGCGTATGGCGACAGTGGAGGGGCAGCTAAAGGGCCTGGAGACCGCGAAGGTGTGCGTCAACGTGGACGTGCCGATCATCCGGCACCCGGCGGTGCTCTGTATGAAGTGGCACAGCGAAATAGATCACATATATTTTGTGGGAACCGACGAGGGTTGCATTTATAAATGTTCGACGCATTACTCTAATCAGCACATCGAGGTGATCCGAGCGCACGCGGGGCCAGTGTTCAACATGACATTCTCGCCGTTCATGGAACGGCTGCTGGTAACGTGTGGTGCAGACAACGCCATTCGGCTGTGGCTGGAGGAGCTGGACGACGTCATCATGACGCTGAACTGCCCCGCCGCCGTGTACGACGTCGCCTTCTGCCCAGTCAACTCTACGGTCCTCATCTCTGTAAGCGGCAACGTGCTCTCGATATGGGATCTACGTAGGAAAAATCACATTCCCTGCGCTGAGTACAAGTTTCCGGGTAATGTCGTACTGAATTTTGTAAAGTTTTCAAAGTCCGGCGATAACGTGTTTGTGGGTGATACGTTAGGGCGCGTGCACACGTTCCACTTGGAGGACACGCCCATACCGCCCTTCTATCAGCACAAAATATTAGACGAGACGATAAAGAAAGCGCTGTGTACGAGACCTCAGTTATTGAAGCAGTTGCAAAAAATTGAGAAATATAAAGATCGTCACTATAAGTAATGCTATATTTTTCATTGTTAAGCTATATAAAACATAAATTAAGTATTTGGTAATCAGAACTTTAAGTCGGATTGATAAGAAAAACGAATCTGTTTCTATTTACTGGGCCAACGCTTTGAGGTACTTTGTTAAGTGGGATTTGTTAGTTTTTCATACTATTACAGCTTCTTAGACTTTTTTGCCTTTCATGTACTGAAACCACTGAAGTGTAATGAGATGATAAAAACGAGGTATCATTTATCATTTTTATTTACTCTAAGCTTATAGACTAGGAATATATTAAATAACAAAATTATAAATTATGTTTAGTCTTGTATTAAATAATACGCTTATATTATATACGGAATGACTAGGGCTTGTTTGAGAGCATTTGTAGTTGATATTCTTTCTTCAGTTCTTTTAAATTAGCTTCCAAAATGGCCACCTACAAAGAAAAAAAAAATCTATTTTCGTTACAAATTTCAGCGAGATCTGTTAACCCATACGTAGTAACATCCATGCATCTATCCATCCAAACATTCGTATTTTTAATATAAGTAAAAATCATAGCTGTGAAATAACAAAGATTATGTTACCTCTTCAAATCTCAGTTCCTTCCTCGCATCTTTTATATATCCTCTGATTATATTCATTTGTTCAATAAGTGGGTTGTTTTCGTCGACGTCGGCGTGCTCCACGCGGCTCCCGCTCGCCGCGGACTCTTCTCTCCACACTCTCTCTCTCTCCCTCCGTTCTCTTTCCAACTGTATCTGCTTCTGCGCTCTTTCGTACCGCGCTCTGCGCACTTCCTCTATCTGCGCTTCTGTTGGCAACTTGCGCAGAGATAACAGATCTTCCTGCAATTAAAACAATTTACCATTCAGTCTTACTAACATACTTGAAGACACAAGAAAACTGTATATTTAGAATGAGTAAATCCTAAACTGTTATCAGTCATTAAATGGCCACTAAAATAACGCCGAGTGTAGTAAAAAAGTATACAGCAGCACTAGGTATTGCTGTGAGCTATATACGCACAATATTTATTTATGAACAAGCTGTCGCCCGTAAACTTTTTGCGCAAATTCGGACCACCCGTTACGCCATTTTTAAAGCGCGAAATATTAAAAGAAATAGCTTATAATATGTCCATCGATGTCAGATACCCTCCAGCGACAGTCCGGTCGAAATCGGCCCAGCCATTTCGGAGATTACCCGGAACAAACGCGGCTTGCCGCCATACATTTTTTTAATGCGATTTTCGTTATCAACAAAGCAAATACATCATCTTTCCGAAATCTGGAATTTTTCTACGTAAAGATATCTAGATTCTATACGTAAAGATAGAAGATAGATAAACATACCTTGATATAATGCGCCGCTGCCTGTCGTATAGAGTTGTGCAGGCGAGCTTGGCGCGAGCCGGCCTCCGCGGGCTGCGACACTATCTGCTTACTCAGCAGGTCAATGCCCTCCGCCAACTTGCCTATTTTCCCGCGCATCGCGTTCACATCCCCCAAGTTATATGTTGTCTCTCCATCAAAAAGACTTTGACACATCTACAAAATTACATACAATTTACAATGGGATTTACTAGGGTTTTACCTTCCATGTTATTTTTTTAATATCAGCAGATTTTGTTAATTAATTAATACCCCTTCTCCAACTAAGCTTTAGTCCTGTGCTAGGATATGGTTTTGTAATGTAGGGGTGTTATTGAAACGGCGGTTGGTACTGGACTGATTTATTATCCGTCATTCCGACGGTACATTATTATTGGCATACCCACATATACACCACAGGTTCCAACAATTCGAATGGCGGGATTCGAACTCTCGACCACGTGATCGGAAATCTATATCCTCAACCAGTAGTTTATCGCTTCGCTTCAAATAGATCTCTTAGGTTAAAATAAAAAAGAGGTTTAATTAACTCTACAAGACCCTATTTCGTTATTCTTAAAACAAGGTCAAATTCATTAACAACACTACTTCCGAAGATCATCATCATCATCTCCCCTGCCTTATCCTACTCCCGTAGGGTCGGCGCACCGGGTTTTCGTCCTCCAAAGCATTCTATCATCCGTCATCTCTGTCAACACTCCCTTCTTGATCATGTCACCTTTCACGCAATCCATCCTTTCTAGGTCTACCTCTACCGATGTACCCCTCCACATTCATAACTAACATCCTTCTTGTTACATGCGATTCATCCCTTCTCATAACATGCCCATACCACTCTAACCTTTTACTCCTTATTTTCTCAACCACTGGGGTTACTCTCAAACACTACTTCCGAAGATGACTGTACAAATGTCAAGAAATAAAATATCAGAGAGATGTGCAACTAAACAGTTAAATTGGAAACAATCGACAATCGCACAACTGTTGTTCAATTGTTTAATCAAAGCTGTGTGCCCGC